TCTGCTCACAGACTCATGTTCATGTTTGTGCTGATGTTCAATGTTTTATGTTATGAGTGCTTAGTGTATATTTAGTTGATGTTTTTCTTAGTTCATATCTTAGATGTTATTACTGTTTTTCTTATACATTTTATTGTTGGATGTAACTGGGACCCTGTGTACATAATTTCGCTCCACCACATGTACCACATGAGGTGCGAATGAAAAAGAATCTCTGACTCTGACCTTGTACACATCCGACTTCAAATATATGTCTGAGTCTTGCTACATACAGAAGTTCTCAGACGACACAGCAATTATGGGGTGTGTGATTGATAGACGGGAAGAGGAGTACAGGAGCCTGGTTAAGGACTTTGTGGTGCGGTGTAAATCTAACCACAGGCAGCTGAAAGTTAAAAAAAGAAAGGAAAATTTAGTGGACTTCAGAAGGTCCAGGCCAATCCTGCAGCCAATCTCTATTGAGGGGGTTGATGTGAAGATGGTCAGGACCTACAACTGAAGGACAGGCCGGACTGGTCGGCGAACACTGACACACTCTACAGGAAGGAACAGAGTAAACTACTGCACTACTCTGCTGAAAATGCTTGCTGAAGTTCTACCAGTGTGTGGTAGCCCAGTGTCCTCGTCTGTGCTGTAGTGGGATGGGGAAGCAGCATTGAGATGCAGGGCACCTCAGCTAGCTGGTGAGGAGCGCTGGTTGTGTGCTGGGAACAGAGCTGGGAACAGAGCTGGAGTCCCGTACGTTAGTGGCAGATAGAAGGGCCCTCAGCTAGCTGCCTTCCATCATGGACAGTGCTGACCACTCTCTACACAGCGCCAACATCAGGCAGAGGAGCTCATTCAGCGGCAGACTGCTGTCCCAGCCCTGCTCCACGAACAGGTTCAGCACATCTGTTGTCCCCCAGGCCATTAGACTGTTCAACTCCTCAAAGTACAATAACAACAGAACTCTGTGATTCTGATTCACTCTGGTCACTGGAAAATATATATACCTCCCATATCATGTGATTTTTACTCTAAGTATTTACATGTTGCCACTCATTACAACCCTGCAGGCTTGCACTGGTTCAGCACATCTTGTGTATTTGTACTGTGGAACTGATCTAAAACTGTTATCACTCAGTGACAATGTGAGAGCTGTCCTAGTTTTCTTCACATTCTTACTTTTGTATTGTTGAGTTTTATTTATATTTTATTGACCTTGTGCCTGCTGCATGCCTTGAATTTCCCTCTGTGATTGATTCATTAATTAATTAATTTGTAAGTAAGTAAATAATTATCTATCATCTATCTATCTATCTATCTATCTATCTATCTATCTATCTGTTTTCACAATTACTTTAAATGATCATGTGACAGAACTAACTTAGTACAGTGGTATACAACATGAGTATTAGATAAAGCAGGATCAGATGTGCTTGATATCAGTTTAAAATTAAGGTTTAGAACAAAACAGCAAATTTTGTTAACACTTCTCCCTCCTAAATACATTTTTGTTGGAAAGGACTAAGATGCAAGCAGAAGACCAGAGCAGGGGTGTCCTGATAATATATATATTATTACTTCAGCTTGGGTACTTGCCATTAGTGAGTACCAATACAGAGTAGTTAATGAGTTAGTACTTAAACATTACACAATGACTTAAGAAACATACTTATTTTATTTAAAACACAGCAAACAGTCTGCTATCATAACTTCACCCGTATATCTTTAAATATTTCTAAACTATGGACATTTCTTAATTTTCTGCCCTCAGTTACTCATGAAGTGGAAGAGAAAAAGAGTTTGAGCATAAAAATGAGCAGAAATGAGGGAGAGGATGAGCAACTTCAGAAACAGGAAGAGGAGCAAACATTTTTATTAAATTATAAACAAATGTTATGTGATGAGGTGAAAATGAAAGGTTTTGTGAGATTTTAGAGAGTTTTATGAAGGAACCTGACTGTACTCTAGTTAGAAAAAAATCTAATTTTGAACCAGTTGTTTACAATGTGGGGGAATAAACTAAACATTTATCAGATATTTGTAATCTCGAACCACAAATCAACTTATTCCTTTTTAATATGCGTCACTAGTTGGACGCAGTCACCCTCATTACATTTCCCATGTGAACCGAGCAAATAAAGTGTTTATAATGTTAATAGTTCTTAAGTTTATCTACATGAACCAGCAGCTGAACTGTCATTGAGTCTGTAAATAAAGCTGCTTTATAAAAAACAAAAATAAAGAATAAAGATAGCACTCAGCTGGAAAGCTGTGTACATAATGATTAGGACAGCCCGCCTGGTCTAAGGGCTTTGAATAACGGTGACATAAAACAAAGGTGAAAAAGCAGGTTTGCTATCTGTCCCACTCAGTGTTTGTCTTCTGTCCCACTCAGTGTTTGTCTTCTAATGTCCTGTCTTCATCCGCATGTACACAGGATTCATTCATCGCATGAGCTTTCCACGACAGAGGATGAAAGCCACTCATGGACTCCAAACCACAGCTGTGTTAGCCTTGTTAGCTTGTTCCCGGACAAATGGAGGGAATGAAACCGTATCAGATGCGACAACATGAACTACTTGTAATAAAAAGTTGCTCCAGTTTCACAGATCACAGCTCGTACCTTTTCTAGCGCCTCTTGTCGCGCCTGCCTCTTGTTTTCTCGATTTTCTTCGATGCTGCTCGAACTCTCAAAACTAACGCCGTACGTCGCCATGACACTGTCGCGATTGTTTTCGTCAAACGTCGTAAAACGTGACCGTTTACGGTAATTGTTGGTTTTTGGTTCTTGTAGTGCTGAAAAACGACGCGATGGCTTGATTTATGAAGTAAAATTACGCCGGTACTTGTTTTTTATTCGGCAGTACCTAAAACTTCATGGTATTTGCTGCTTCCAAGCATGGAAATTACAGGTGTCTCTTGTAAATGAGTACTCGAGGTTCAATGAGGCTAGTCTGTATAAAGGTTGAATTAAAAAAAGCATTTAAAAATCAAGACTAAATCTAGTTTTAAACAATTGTAGCACCTTGAACATTTGTCAACAAATGCTGCTTAAATGCAGAGGTTGAAAGAGTACTGAAAATGTGTACTCAAGTACAAGTACTGTTACACTGCTTAAATTGTACTCAATTACAAGTGAAAGTACTGGTGTTATAAAAAATATTTAAGTAAAAGTACAATGTACTCTTCTCAAAAACTACTCAGAGTATTAATTACTTTTTAACCAATTGATGTTTTATTGTGTTGTCAATAGAAGTCATTCAGTTTGATTTACGTCAAAGCACATTTCTCAGACGAACAATAAAGTTTAGAAAATTTACACTAAGGTCATTTCTTTTGTAAACAAATGTGGATAAAGCAGGAATTTTGTTTGTTAAAAGAAAGACAAAAATGTTTTTGAACCAGCTTAGAACAGTTTAAACCAACAAAACTGCTCATGGGGCTGGACATCCAGCAATTAAAATCATTATGTAAGTAAATCTAAGTTTACAATGATCTGGTTTATTTTAAATTTCTTTATTTCATTGCATTGACTCATAAATGCAATAAACAGAACCCCCTTCTTAAAGGCTGAGACGGAGCGCAGGAGCTCCGTGGTGTCTGTAGCACCAGATGAGAACATCAAGCTCTGAACTTTCTGGACAATTTGAATATTAATTCAAATTGCGGCCGTACTTTGTAGCAACTTCTAATTTTAAAAGTAGCCAAGTAGATTACATGGTCTAAATTATACTTAAGTATGAGTAAAATTACACACTTGAAAGAAATACTCATAAAAGTACAAGTACCCAAAAAATCTACTTAATTATAGTAATGTGAGTATTTGTAATTCATTACTTCCACCCCTGCTTAAATGTAGGGTCTATCTGTTCTATAAAGTATATAATAAGATGTAAGGCATCTGTTCTATGGTGGTGCAGAGGTTAGAGAAGGTGAGCCTACGATAGGAAGATCGCTGGTTCAACCCCACGGACCAACATCAAAATGTGGGTGGGAAAGTTGAAACACCCACACCTGCCTCCCTTATGTGCCCCAATCTGGGCCCTTGAGCAAGGCCCTTAACCCTCATCAGCTTCCCTGGGCGCCCTGCAGGTCAGCTCTCTGCTCCACACAGAGGGATGTGGTAGCTCGGTGGTCTGACTGACTCCATCTGGAGTAAAAATCATTGCCTAGTCTTCGTTAATCTAGTCTTTGTAAGGATGGTACTTTTCTGTGGCCCGGTTTGTGTCTGTTTCCCTCGTGCTCCCTCATTAGTTTCCATTGTTACCACCCGTGTCTCGTCCCAGCTGTCTGCAATTATGTCTCGTCTTGTCTATGCATATAAGCCGCCTGTTCTGTCTTGTTCTTCGTCGGGTCGTCTTCGTTGGGTCTCCTGAGTCTTCCTGGTTCCTCAAGTTCCCCGTGTCTCTCGTGTCTCCTGAGTTCCCCGTGTCTCTCGTGTCTCCTGAGTTCCCCGTGTCTCTCGTGTCTCCTGAGTTTCCCGTGCCTCCTTCCTATGTTCATGTAAGTTTTGCTGCCCCGTCAGCTTGTTAATTTTGTACTTTCGTTTATCATTAAAATCCTATTTTTGTATTTCTGCCGAGTTGAGTCCCTGTTCTGCACTCTGGGTTCGCTCCTGACACAAATCCTGACAGTCTTAGTCTTAATTCTCTGTGGCGACCCCCAAA